CAAGCCACTGGGTTCCTGGGGTTGAGTTCCAGGCTCCTGGGGGCATTTGGGGAATAAACCAGCAGAAGGGAGCTCTCTCTCACTCTCTGTCTCTCAAATAAAAGTAATCACAAATATCTATTTTCCCTGGGGAACTTCATTTTTTTCAAGAGTTATTTTATTTATTTGAAAGACAGAGTTACAGAGAGAGGTAGAGACAGAGAGAGAGGTCTTCCATCCACTGGTTCATTCCCCAGATGGCCTCAACGGCCGGAACTACACTGATCCGAAGCCAGGAGCCAGGAGCTTTTCCAGGTCTCCCACGTGGGTGCAGGGGCCCAAGCACTTGGGCCATCTTCTACTACTTTGCTAGGCCATAGCAGGATCAGAAGTGGAGCATCCAGGACCAGAACCAGCACCCATATGGGATGCCAGCACTTCAGGCCAGGGCTTTAACCTGCTATGCCACAGTGCTGCCCCCCTCCCCGGGAACTTGCAACTCTGTCAGAGCAGAAACCCCAGGGTTCCCAGCACCCAGCATGCTGCAGGCACACAGCAGAGTCTTGAAGAGACTAAGAATGAATGAGCCACAAGCTGAAGGGGGTCCCAGACCCCAGTTCAGAGGTGAGAGAGAAGACAGGCCCGGTCAGGGGGTTGTTGAAAGGGCCTGGGAGAAGTGTCAGGGGCAGGGAGAAGACCCCTTCTGAACCACACAGCAGCAGGCAGGGACCTGCCTTTAGCTGGAGCTCAGGATGTGGCCCAGTCCCCGGGGGGCCATGTCTGGCAGCCCCGCCCGCTGACACACTGAGCTCCCCACATCTGGATTATCCATCTGCTGAGTCACACACGCCTGCGGGGTGCCTGCGAGCTGACGTATTCCGTGGGCTCACACCTCTGCTGCAGTGACAGATGGCAATCCTGCGTCTGGAGTCTGGGACTCCACAGCCAAGCTTATTAAAACCAATCAGACCCCAAGAGAGAAAGCCACGGTGGTCGCCTGCCAAGAGGGTAACCAGAAGCCACCAGATGATCCCATTCCCCGACTTTGCTTGTAGTAACAGTAAGGGAGCCAACCTTTGCTAACTCAGGACGGCTTCTTGTCCAGCAACACAAGATGCAGCTGAACGGAGATGCTACTGCTGGAGGGCATCGCACACTGTGCAAAGATTTTGGGATCAGAGGACCCAAATTCAAGTCTTGGCTCTGCCACTGAGGCCCCCAGTCAAGAAGGCAGGGCCCTGCTGCACCTGTGTCCTTATAAGAAGAGATACTGGAGAGCAAGTGCGCTCCTTGCCGTCCTCCCCTCCCCACCCCCACCCATCCACGGGAGGACCCAGTGAGAAGTCAGCAGTCTGTGAGCCAGCAAGAGGGCCCCTGCCAGAGCCCAGCTATGCCACACCCGATCTCAGACGTCCAGCCCCCATAATCGTGAGAAAAGCCAGCTCTGTGGTTAAGAAACGGCACCCAGGCCATGGTATTTTGCTGTGACAGCGCGAGCAGACTAGGGCACTCCCTTCGGCTTGCTTAGGACGGCCTCAGCCCTAGGAGGCCAAGCTGGGGGGCCTCATGTCTGAACAGGCCTGTGCAGATCTGCCTGTGGTAGCTGGACCAGGAGGGCTGCCAGCCAGGAGCTGCCAGGGCCCTGCGGCTGAGGCTCAGATCCTCGTCGGCACCCTGCTCGGCCAGGAGAAGGGAGTCTCCCCAGGATAGCCCTTGGACCCTGAGCCTGACCCTCCTCCAGGGTAGTATGTTTCAGGGGCCCTCCAAGGAGAACAGGCCTGACCCTGGGGGATGCGCAGGGGATTCCCTGAGGCCTCTCCTCAGTGTGGGGGTGAGGGAGTGGGTGGGTTTTGGGGGAGTCTGTGTGTGAGGAGGCAAGGCCCTAACAAGGGCACCACTGATGGCACTGCAGGGGGTTAGGGCATTCTACACACTCACAAGCACTTCCGCCAGCGTCTCCTGTGGAACAAACAACCCCAACCCTAGAAGAGGCAGCAGTGAACATTCCCAGCTTACAGACGGGCAGGCAGACCCCGGCAGGGCCATTTCCTGGCCTTGGGTAGCAGTGACAAGATTTCAGTGCAGTCCTGGGGCCCCCAGTCCAGTGTTCTCTCCCCTCTGCTGCAGCTTCTCAGAGGCATGCAAAGAGCCACAGGGTAAAGTGGGCAGGAGGGCGCTGGGAGCCGTGCACCGTCCCATCCCCTCAAGGCTGGGAGGTGGGGCAGGAGGAGCCATGTGCCCAGCAGGCAGGGAGGCAGAAAGTTCCCCACGGGGCAATATGAGAGTTGGGCTGGGACGGAGGCAAACAGGAATCCAGAAGATACAGGACAAGGCTTACCCAGAGACTAGGGGCCTCCCACTTTGGTGGAAGCAGGGGAGGCTTTGAAGAAGACCTGGGGCAGGGGTGAAGAGGCAGAGGAGTGCTTTTCCCACAGGCGCATTGCAAGCCTACGGCTGGAAATGTATTCTGGGAGACAGTAGGAGCCACAGAAGGTTATTGAGCAGGGAGTGGACCCTGTGCCAGGGGCTATGGGATAAAAAGACAGCTGGTCTCTGTCCATTCACTTTCTACTCACTTCACTTATATTGAGTCTCCCTTGGACCAGGCCCTGGAAACCCTGACTATAGATAAGACCTGGCTTCTGACCTCTGACCTCCAGGAGCTCACAGGCCCAGGGGCTGTGTGTTCCATGCACATCTGGTCTTTGTCTCAGGGAAACTTCTGCAGAGGGGAGAAGGCCTTTGAGCAGCCGCTCCAGGTTGTGTCTCTAATGGCCCAAGGCCAGGACAGCTCCCAGGGAGATCTGGGCAATCAGAGCTTAGGGGTCAGGGAGCCAGGAGTGTGGGGCATGAGGATAGCAGTGCCCACTGCAGTCCAGGGCTCTGGGAACCTGGGCCTTCTCCCCATGCTTCATGGCTGACTTTACAATGGCCAAGGCCCTAGCTGGCTCCCCCACCCACAGCCCAACAGACTTTTACACAAAGACGCCACCACGTCATGTGGCTGAGCTTGGGGCACCACATCTCCACGGGAAACCTGGCCTGCGACTGCAGGACAGGGTGGACAGACCGCATCATCCGGGCATACAGACAGTCGTGGACTGGCAGAGAGCTCCCCATGCAGCTGTCGGCCGGCGCAGGAAAAACGCGCCTCTCACACCCGGTTCCCAAGGCTAATTCTTAGCCATCTGCTGACCCCACACAGTCGCGCACAGCCACGTACAAAGCTCAAAATTTGCTGTTCACGGCATCCTCGGACATCCTCTCACAGCGATGAGGTCACTGTGCCGTTAGTTCCAGACACACTTGAAGTGAGAAAAGGAACAGCACTGAAAAGCGCCAAAGGCATAATCCAGATGTGAATCGGGATATGTGTGTGTGTGTGTGTGTGTGTGTATGTGCGCGCGCGCTGGGCGGGAGGAGACATAAGGCTGGAAGGACAAAGAGCTGCCTGTGTTTGGAAGGGCCCATGAGGATTTCTTAGAAGTTCTGCAGCCATCATTAGTGAGCTCTTGATTGTCACAGCAGAGAGGGACAGAGGAGGGGTACGCATCATGTAAGATGATAGAGAACCGCAACACACCCATGAACCCCCTCGCTTCCGGCACTGGGCGCAGTCAAACGTAGACGCAACACAACACAGCCACCTCCTTCTGCACCCCGGCCCCCAGTCCTTCCCCGCGCTGGCAGCAGCAGCAGTCTGGGAGCAGCGGGGCAGGGAGCCACCAGCAAGCCGTAACTTGGATAACCCCACGCAGCAGTCTGTCCCAGACCTGGGTAAGATTTTTCTCCCAGGCGGCACGGAGAGGCACACCCAGCTGTGCAGTCAGCTCGTCTGCCCGTGTGAGCGGATGACTTAAAAAGCTGGGTGAGCTGGGTTGTGGCCACAGTTGTACCCGTGCCCAGGGAACTTGGGCCTTGAGCCAGGAAGACAGCAGGACAGGGAAAGAAAATCACAGTCCTTTCCCTCCATTTCTGACCCTGTCACTCAAGATGACTACTTTTCAATTCCTTATCTTGGTCTACTTGGCAACACAAACGCAGGGCAGCAAACTCCGCAGCACTTCTGCGTGAAGGAAAGAAGGGGGTTTGGGAGTCTTTTTATTTTTTTAATGGAGACAGGAGTTGGGACCAGCTGCAAAGAAATGCAAGCCCCAGACACAAGGCTGCCGATGTCACCGGTGCTGCCAGATGGCCGGGTTCAGGCGGCAGGGAAAGGATGGCCTCTCCTTCCAGAGCTGACATTGGCATCACACAGGCAGAGTTCGTGTGTACTCATTTTAACTAGTCGGCCACCTCAGTGTCTTGACCTATTCTGAGCTGCAGCTTCTTTAGCTGTCACCAGCAGAGACAGTGCTTGCACGTGGCACAGTGCCTGGCACATGGCCAGCAGTTCATCAGCGGTCCATGTGACTATTCTTGGGCATTGCTGGCTGCCTGGGGGTAGAGCGGAGTTGAGGACTGCAGCTCTGGGTGGGCTGGTTGGTCCAGTGGTTAAGATGCTGGGTAAGGTGTCCACTTCTCATTTAGAGCACTTGGGTTGGATACCCTGCTCTGCCTCTTAACTCCAGCTTCCTGCTAATGTGTCCCCTGGTGGCTCAAGTGCTTGAGTTCCCGCCCCCCCACCTGGGAGACCTGGATTGCATTTTGGGCACCTGGCTTTGGCCCTGCCCAGTCCCAGCTGTCATGGGGATTTAGGGAGTGAACCCACAGATGTGGGAGTTCTCTCTCTCTCTCTCTCTCTCTCACTCTGCCTCTTAAATAAACACATTAAAAATGAAAAAAAGAAAAAGAAAGAACTAGGGCTCTGTCCAGCTGCAGACCAACAGCGAGGCAGACTGGAAATGGCCAAAAACCACTGCAAGGACTGGAGGAAAGAAACTGGGTGGCAGGGGGAGAAGCTGCCACTAGGGTTCGCTTGGTTAAGAGATGTAGCCACACACATTCTACCGAGGCAGGCACACGCCTGGGGCCAGCAGCATCCCCACATGCCCGGAACCCCTGTGCCCCCATGCACTCACTTGCACAGGTCTTGCCATCACTGCGTAGCACGTGCCCCTCCGGACACTGGCAGGCGAAGGATCTGTCTGTGTTGACGCAGGAGTACTCACAGCCGTGGTCGCTCAGCAGGCAGTAGTCCACCCCTGCAAAACCAAAGCCACGTGAGGGCCCTGGGTGACGAGGATGGAACCAAGCGCCCCCGAAGCCTCGCAGTGCCCACCACACCCTGGGGCTCTAGAGACGAGGGCAGAGGGAAGCCCTGTGCACTCGTGTGCACGATTCACTCCTCGGGTCAGCCTGTCCCTGCGAGAGCGTGGGGAGGGGACTCACGGGAGCAGGTCTTGAGGTCCTCGTTGATGAGGAAGCCTTCTGAGCACTGGCAGACGAAGGACTCCTCCGTGTTCAGACACAGCTGCTCACAGCCGTGGTCCTGCTGCGCACAGTGGTCCACCCCTATGTGGGTCACATACACAAAAACGTCAAAGAACCAGGTGGGGTGGGGGTCACGTGCCACTGGCCACAGGGACTGCAAACCAAACCCTCCCAGAGGCCGTAGGATCTCCAGGGGAGGTTTCACTCCATCCACAGCACTGGCTGCTCTGAAAAATCAGCCGAGCTTGCTTTCCTTGCCATCTCCCTGTTTGAAGAGTAAGGTGCACACAACGCTAGGGATTGGACAGTGCTGTCCCTGGCGCTGAGGACAGCGGCACTTGGCACCAGGGCCTTGGCACGCAGAACCTGCCAGCTCAGGGCAGAGCTGGGAGCAGGTGCAAGTCCCACCGCACCAGGAGGAAGTGAGGCTCGGGGAGGGCAATGCACACAGCCGGCTGGTAGAGTGCTGCTTAGGTAGGAGGGTTCTGGCCTAAACCCTGCCTCTTCTAGTGCCAGGCTCGGACAGCCAGACCTCTGTGCCCTGGTTTCCTGAACTGAGACACCAGCCGCATCGTGGTGCCTTCCCCTGGATGGGAATGTGGCTAGAGGAGTCAATCCTTGGAAGGCCTCCGGGACTGGAGCTGGCGAGCAGCAGCCGCCTCATGAACGCTTATTATTATCAAGTAGTGCTGAGTAAGAATTTATTGTATAATTTCATTCTCTTTAGAAGTAGAAAAGAAAAAGGGTTTTTGTTTTGTTTTGCTTTGCTTACCCCTATCATCAGGACATCCAGATTCAGAAAACAAACCGGAGCCTAGGCCTGCTTGGGTGGCCCGTTCTGGCACCCGACCACTGCACAGCTGGTCCCTGGGCCGGGAGCACAAAGGCCAGCGATCACACAGCTGTGATGGACAGGTCCCCCTGGGCGGCCCTGCGGGCTGCCTTCCAGATTTCCTTGATGGAGAAAAGGCAACCCCAGAGACTGGACAGTTATTGGAGGCCTTATGCGGGCCTTTTCTCTCCTGCAGGGCCTAGGACTAGAGCCTTCTGGAACATTCCATGGGTGGATGCCCCCCACTGCCAGCACTTGCATGCTCTTGGGAGCCACATCCCGCTTCTGCCACTTGCTGGTCACAGGACCCCAGGAAAGTGACTTGGGCTTTCCATGCACAATTTCCCCATCTTTAGGAATAAGGGCTGTGGTGAGGATGAGCAAGTTAGGGCACGGGAAGTGCTCCCAGCAGTGCCTGCATAGGGCGAGAGCCTTCTGAACGCCTGTCGTCCCTGTAACTTGGGCTTCCTGAGTCTGCGAGACACAAGATCTAGGCTTTCCCAGAGGACACCTAGGCAGAAATGGTCCAGCCTTTGAGCTCCTCTAAGCTCCCTAAGGCATGCTGGGAGTGAAAGGCTGGTGGACCCTGACCATTGGTGTAGCCTAGGCAGGCTCCACTGGGTCATGCCCAGCCTGTCCTGGGTTACCTGCCAGGGCGAGCAGCAGGCAGACCCCCACACCATTAGAGAAAGGCAGGACTCGCATGGGTGCATCAGTGGCAGGGAGTCTCCTGCTCCCTGTGGGGTTCTCATGGGGCTCAGACACATCTGGAGGTGAATCACAGGAGGCACTCACTTTGGCTGCCATTTCCAAGCCCAGAAGCCCTTGGGCCTCTGATACCGTCCTTAGAAAGCCTAGTGAGGCCCTCTGTGCCCTGGGGCTCCTGCAGGGGAGCGAGAGTTCCTGAGGACGCCTCTACCTCCTGCTTCATCTGTGAAACTGCCCCTCCTGGCAGTCTGGGGTCCAAGCGCTCAACAGCTGCACTGTTCCCGCTCACAGTCTACGTCTGTCTCCACAGCCAGAGCAGATGTGCGGCTCGCCGGGCGGGCTTCCCCACAAAGGGCCCCTTCTGCATGGCCATGCTCCCTGGGGCCCCCGTTCCCAGCAGGCTGGGGTCACAGGGATCCCTCACAGCGCCCGTGCGCCCCCACCCCTGCTGTGCCTCATACATAGAGCGCCACGGCCCCCTCCAGCTGGCACAGCCTGCAAGTTCCCATGTGCTTACATCACCGAGCGGAGCTCTGCTGTGGCTCCAACACAACACAACTAAGAAAAGCCAAAGCCTTCACAGAAAGTCCCATGCTCCTCAGCTCTGTCCCTGGAGCCCACGGCCTTCCAAGGCCTGGCCCTTCCAGCCTCTGGTCCCAGCCCAGGGCTGGATGCTGGTCACTGTGACAGGTTCCAGGACATGAGTGGTTATCCCGGCTTGAGCAGGTAGCCTGCACCAGGACTAAGAGGTTGAAATGGGCCGTGGTGCCCCGAGCCGTGCTGGGGTATCAAGAACATTATCATCTCAGGTGGGAAGTCGAGGCTTGCTCACATACCTAGTAGATGGCAGAGCCTACATTTGATAGCAGGCCTGTCTGACTGAAATCAGCCAAAACTTCGTGTCTACCCCCTCAACAGTAAATAATATTAGCTAACACTTACTAGTGTTTGCGCCAGGCGGCACTGTTCTAAGTGACATACATCTAACGATTCTCTTAATCGTCATCATCCAAATTTTGAAGGAATAGTAGTAGAAATCTTCCCACTTGATGGATGATGGAACCGAGGGAAGGGAAGGCCCACGATGCCCATGGGAAACCCGGAAGTGCCTGGTTGCTAAGGTACCGGGGGCTGTGCGTGGAGCCCGCGCCCCACGGTCCCCTGCCCGGGGTGCACACTCACGGCTGCAGGTCTTGCCGTTGGGGTCCAGGCTGTAGCCCCGGCGGCAGCGGCAGTAGAAGCTCTCCTCTGTGTTAACACATTCGTGCTCACAGCCGGGCTTGTTCAGAGCGCAGTAGTTGATCCCTGAGGGGAGAGAGGACAGCCCCTCCTCAGACTCTGGACTTCTCCCATGAGCCTCTCTGGCGAGAGCTGGAAGGTGCTGCCTGCCCAGGTGGCTCAGGACAGCAAACAAGGGCGTGGCCTGAGGGCGAGGGCCCAGTGTGGGCGGTACAAGGGGCTGAGGATGCTGGAGTGGCAGAACCAGAGGGGGCTGGGCCTTGACAGACACAGAATGGCGCAGGGGAGACTCTGGCTAGGTGGCTGGGGCCGGGAGTGCCGGTGGCGGTGGCAAGGCCGGGCTGTGCCTTCCAGAAGAAGGCCTTGCAGTGGAAGGGGGAAGACAGGTGAACTTCAGTGAAGGTTCAGGAAGTTGAAGGCTCTTCAGGACACAGAGAAATCAGGTGCTGTTCTCAGGGAGCTGCGTGAAAAGAGGAATCCAGACCAGAAGCGTCCCTGTGGATTCTCCCACATCGGTCTTGCCCTGCCGTGATGGCCCAACACTGAGCTGAGTGGATGGCCAAAGAGCAGAAGGCTGGGGGGAGGCCCTACTTCTCAGAAAGATGGCAAAGCTGAGAAAGTCCAGCAAGTCTGTTCCTCAAGTCAGTGTGTCTGTAGCGACCTCTGACAGTGACCTCAGACAGCACGAGGCAGAATAAACAAAAGCTCACCTTGGGGCCAGCGCCATGGCTCACTTGGTTAATCCTCCGCCTGCGGTGCCGGCATCCCATATGGGCAACGGGTTTTAGTCCCGGTTGCTCCTCTTCCAGTCCAGCTCTCTGCTGTGGCCCGGGAAGGTAGTGGAGGATGGCCCAAGTGCTTGGGCCCTGCACCCGCATGGGAGACCAGGAAGAAGCACCTGGCTCCTGGCTTCGGATCGGCAAAGCGCCAGCCATGGCGGTCATTTTTGGGGTGAACCAACGGAAGGAAGACCTCTCTCTCTCTCTCTCTCTCTCTGTCTATAGGTCTACCTATCACAAAAGGAAAGTATAAGAGAAGAAGCGATAAGAAAAAAGGCAAGCTGACCTTACAAAACAGCCAGCTACTTAGGGAAGTCCAAATGCTTAATCTTGCTCTGGGGAGAGTGCGACAGCTTCAGAATCATGAAACCGGAGGTGACACGGCTGCAACACTGCCACTGCCCTGGGAGGCCGCAGTTCTGTCCTCCAGGAGTAAGCTCCCCCCATCATCTGCCAGCAGCTGGGAGCTGCATCATAACCAGTAGCGGGGAGCAATCCATTTCCTGGTAGAAAGTTCTAACTACACACGCATAGCGGGCTAGTAAAAGCAAATCAGATGAGCTTGTGGAGGGCCTTTGTGAGACTGGTGTCGGGGGAAAGGCCATTACTGACATCACTGGCCGGGCTGGATCCGTTTGACTGCACACCATTGTTCTTTTCCTGGGGACGTGGCAGACACTGCTGGTTGTCTTGCCAACAACCATTATCCCACAACCTCCAAGGCATGAATCATGGCTGATCTAAGTCAGTCTGGCAACCATGTTCCCTTTTGTAAGAGGTTGGTCTAAGGGTGGGGATGTGCCCTAGTTCTTGCTATGAAAGCATAAAGTTTACTGGGGGCCCCAAAGAAAGACCTTCCTTCTTGAAAAGACAAAGGTGTCTGAAGAGATATGCCTTTCTGTCCTCTTTCTCTTCTGCCTTTGAGAAGAGTAGTATGAAGATATGATGCATGGTGCTGCAGCAGCTGTTTTGTAGCCATGAGGTGATAAGCCTGAGGATGAAAGTCAACATGCTTTGCCAAAGTAGGAAAGAAAGAGTCTGGGTTCTCAAAAGCATCACTGAGTCACTGAGTCAACCCTGGGACCAACCATCTCTGACCTTGTTAAGTAAAAAGTAAACGTCCTTGTGACTTTAATTGGATTTTCTGTTTTCTGTGACCATAAAGCATCATAACTAATCCAAGGGGAAAGATTAGAAACCATAAAGTAACAGAATGGTCACATTTTTATTTACCCCCAAAAATTATCTGAGGAAGCTCACATATACAAATCAGCTGATGACCTGACACAGATCCCGCTCTTGCTTCACTGGCTCCCCCGGCCCTGGCTAACCTCTACCTCCCTCCATGGGCAGCCCCATAGCACTGCCTCACCCTCCGGGACCTCTGGGCTGAGCTCAGTTTTTTCTACAGGGCCTGGCCTCTCTTTCACAGCACTCATCACCATCGGTGGTTTCGAAGCATTTTTGGTTTGAGGGATGCTTCGATACCTGTTTCTCTCACTAGACCACGAGTTTCAGGTTTTTTGTGTGTGTGTGTGTTTCTCGCCATTCAGGGCAGTCCAAAAGCAACATCAAGAATGATAACTGCGTTTCTCAAGCATCTGCTCAAGCTAATGGGGTCAGTCCCGCGTGGGATGCTGCCCTGGGGCCCCTCCTAGGCAGCCAGGCCAGCCCCGGATTCTGTGCTTGGCATCACAGCCACAGTAACTCATGCCTTAAACCCACGACAACACTCTCCAGGCAGAGTAACTGCCCAGATGGGGAGAAAGGCCAAATCCTAGCCAAGAGCCGTTTCTTCTGCAGGATTCTGGATTGAATTTTTTAATTTTCAGTTTAATTGGATGACATCAAATTCCTTTGAAAAATAGATTTCTTATTAGATTTGAAAATAGCCCACATCCATCATCTACCAACCTCACACTAAATGCAAACAGCTCTACCCTGAGCTCAAGATTTGTGAGGCTCGGATCACTACAGAGACCTCAGACTCCTGATAACAACTTCCAGATTTGAAACCCCATTTCTTCCTTCCCTCTTCCATGGAAGGCTCTGGAGAGGCCGTGAGCACTCACTTCCGTGTACAGCTGTCTGCCATAACCATCCATCGCGAGCTTCGAGTCAGTGGCAGCTCTGGGAGGCTAACCTCAGGGAGCAGGGAGGGGCTCACAGCAGACAACGGAAAATGTGGCAGTCCGGCAAGGCGCTGGGAGGAGGGCTGGCGAGGACACTGGCTTCGGGGAACAAGTTCCATTTTGCTTGGATGCAAACGTGGGGCACCTGGCTAGAGAGGACATGCAGCCATGACCACTGACTCTCCATGAGTGAGTGTTAGGGACCCTGCCCGGCGTCCCGGCCTGCAGCAGTCCCATCAGTGCGAGCCAATTTGTGGTGGCCAAACCACTCCCAGATGGCTGCTTCCTCTCTACTCGCTCTGGTGTGCTCAGCCCCCCTCCTCCCTTGATGATGGACCGAGCATTGCCTCCACGCTTCTCTAGTTCCAAGCAGGCAGGGTGTGCAGGGAGGGAGTGCCCGAGGGCCAGGGGGGCCTCAGATGATTGGTAGGACATGCAGAGCTTCAGGCAGATCTCCTCTACGCATGGCCACATGCCTAACTTACCCCCACCCCCATCTCAGCCCCACTCCCCAGTTAACACACAATGAAGCTTGCAACCCGAATGAGTGTCTGAGTTGAACCAGACCTAATTATCCCCTCCACGAAATGGCTCTGGGGCCACAAATGAGTCCTCCTGCGAGTGATTTTCCCTGGTGCGATCCGCCCCTGACATACTCACCCCTAGAAAGAGGTGTAAATAGCAGAGAGAGGAGTGACCAGGCCAGAAAAGCCAGCCCTCCCACACCCTGAGGCATGTGTGGTCTCACGGAAACTATTCCATGTAATTCTTTAATTCTTTTCATATTGTGATTGCTCTCAATTAAAATTCCCATTCAGTGCCTGTGCGTTTCCAGGGTTTATATGCAGGCAAGGCGGTGGGAAATATCTCTTCTAGGAGAAGAAGCTCAGTTGCGAAATAGAGGCCATGCAGCCATGTGCCAACACAGGAGGGTCAGCACTTACTAGAATGAGCATGTATGTCAGTCTGTGCTGTAAACAGTGTCACCTGTCTGGACCCAGCTGTACAGCCCACTGGGCTTTTCAAAAAGCAAGTACAGTGCGACCTCTGAAAACGCAGTCCTGCATGCTGACCCCTGCTGTACACACTGCCGGGAAGAAGTGGGTGACGGAGCACGTGGGGGATACAGCCCTAAATGGAAGCTCTGGAGAGTTCTGATGGATATCGTCAGGAGAGCACAAACAATCCGGCATGTCTAAATTCACAAAATCCACAGCTTGCCTGCTAACAGGCCACCTTTCTAAGGAGATGGAAGTACTCAAGTAACAGTTGCAATTTCTCCAGATGCTACATCTCAGAGAGATTCACTTACTCCCCCATTCGTCCATTCAGCACACATCCTGCTGCACTGATGCACACCAAGCACTCTTTGAGCTGTTGGGGATGGAGCAAGGAGAAGCAGGCCAACACCTCTGTCCTGTGGGCCTCCCCCTTTGGGGTCTGTGCTCTGGGTCCCGGTCAGGCCTCTTGTGTGCCAGATGCAGGCATGTGGGCTACCCAGAACATCCTCACTATCCTCCGGCTGACACCCAGCACCCTTGAATGTGCTGGGGTACCCCCAGTCTCGTCTTCCTTCTTCCTTCCAACCAAAGAGGACAGAGCTGTGATGTCCCATCTCCTGGCAGCCACTGAGTGTCTGATCTCGAAGGATGGAAACAATCACCCTCTTTTGCCTCCTGTCTATGGGCTCAGCCTCTTCTGCCTCCAAATCCCAAACACACACTGTGGGCTAAGGAAGAGTGCATCATCATTTCCAAAAGGTGGGAGTGTCAAGTGTGGGTGGGCCCTGCCTTTGCTCAGTGACTCTGGTCAGATCCAGGGGATTCACTCTTGAAAACTCATTCCCATAATAGGCTGTAATACAACAGAAAGCAAGCCCGGAGGAGGCTCGAGTGAGCCAAAAGCAATAGAAAAGGGCAGTGTGATGCTGGGAGACCCAAATGCTGAGTCCGTCTTGGCTGTGGTTTGCAAGGAAAGGACGAGTAGGTGGAGGAGTGCTTAGTGGGACAAGGCTTCCCCAGCACCCAGCGAGACTCACGGCGGCACGTCTTCTTGTCTGGATTCAGGGTGAAGCCCCTCAGGCAGCGGCAGGTGTAGGAGTGGTCTGTGTTGACACACTCGTGCTGACAGCCGTGATTAAGCGAGGCGCAGTAGTCTATCTCTGCAAAGAAGGAAAAGCGTGGGACTGCTGAACAGGACGAGAAAGCTAGCACAGGAGAACCGAGGGACTCCCAGTCTTGCTTTTTCCTAACCAGGTGAGATCTCAGGACCCCCGAGACTTCTGACATGAAGAGCTCTCTCAATAGAGCTGTTCCCAGGCTTAGGGATACGGCCAACGCCCTAGGACCCAGACCTTTTTAGACACATTACAAAATGTTTTGCAACAAATTAATTTGTGAACATGCTTTCCTTGTCTTGGTTCATACACACTGGCTGTTGTTTGCCAGATTACAGGCTGGGAAGAGAGCGTTTAGTGTTTAATGGAATGGATGCAAATAAAAACATTCCCGAAGTCAAACTCCAAACCACCTCAACTCCTCAAGCCTGGAGCCAAACAGTAGGATGAAGAATCATACTCTGGGAGAAATAAACACTCAGATCCAACCCCACCCCCGCCACCTCCCTGAAGGCAAGTGCACAGAATCGGAGCTTTCAACTCAAGATTTCCATCAGAGAAGGATATGATTTTGAGGATACACTAAACCAAGATATTCAGGAAAAAAAGCGGGTTTCAAGGAACTTATAATGGAATTTTGCTTCTGTATCTTTCAGTATGGAAAGAGACTGTCCTAATGGAGGGTCTGAGTGACTTATTTTGCTATAGTGGAAATTGGACACATTGGTTAAATTATTTGACATTTAAGTGGCTTTTAAGAAGTCTGTTTTGATAAGGGTTTTTTTTTTGTTTTTTTTTTTTTGTTTGTTTGTTTGTTTTTTTTTTTTTAGAGGGAGACAGAGACAGAGAGATCTTCCATCTGCTAGTTCACTCCCCAGATGGCTGCAACAGCCAGGGCTGGGCCAGACCAAAGCCACGAGCCAGGAGTTTCATCTGAGTCTCCCACATGGGTGCAGGGGCCCAAGGACTTGGGCCATTCTCCACTGTTTTCCCAGGCACATTAGCAGGGAGCTAGATTGGAAGTAGAGCAGCCAGGACATGAACCAATACCCAGATGGGATGTTGGCACCACAGGTAGCAGCTTTACCCGGTATGCCACAGTGCCAGGCCCAGTTTGTATTAAGGAACATATTTGTATTATGTATATAATTTTTATAATGATAAGAGGTTTTGGCCTCCATAAGGAAACATACCAAAAAAAGGGAAAAGCATACAATACTCGAAAGGAAAAACAATGAGAAGATGCCAATTTGCCCAGTCTAAAGTCATGGAAATCTTAAACACATAAAAGCGGACAGAGCAGTACAGCAAATTCACATGTAGATTCAAGGGAGTCAATCCATGGCTGTTCTTCTCTCTTCTGTACCCCACCCTCCAGATTCTTGTCCCATAGTACTTTAACGCAAACCCCAGACATTATGTCATCTTATCCATGTTTCATAATGTAGCTTTAAAAGACCAGGACTCTTTAAAAAAAAAAACATAACTGCATTAACCATAATCACATAAAGAGGCACTGAAAAGAACTGTCATTTGGAAACTATCTCAAACTTAGAAAAAATTGCAAATATAATGACAGTACAAGAAACACCTATATGCTCTTTACTCAAATTCACCTAATTGCATTTTCTTGATTATTCAGTCATCTCTCAATTATTTGAGAGCAAATTATCTATGTCTTCATTTTTGTCCCTTAAATACATGGTGAGCTTCCTAAGGGAAAGGATATTCTCTATACAGAGAAAACAGAACCGGAAGGGGAGGCATTCTGTTACATAACCACAATGTAGTTATACACATCATAAATTTACATTGATCTACTTTTTTAAAAATTTTATTTATTTATTTGAAAAGCAGAGTTACAGACAGTGAGAGGGAGAGACAGAGAGAATTGGTTCACTCCCCAGATGGCCACAACAGCTGGAGCTATGGCAATCTGAAGCCAGGAGCCAGGTGCTTCCTCCTGGTCTCCCATGTGAGCATAGGGGCCCAAGCACTTGGACCATCTTCTACTGCTTTCCCAGGCCACAGCAGAGAGCTGGATCAGAAGAGGGACAGCCGGGACTAGAACCAGCACCCATATGGGATGCTGGTACTGCAGGTAGAGGATTAACCTATGGCACCACAGGGCTGGCCCCCACTGATACACTTTTAATAATCGATTAGCCAAACTGTAATCCGTCAGTCGATCTAATAATGTTCTTTACAACATTTTCCACCAACCAGGAAGGATCTTGTCCAGGATCAAGGATTGTATTTTGTTTTTGTATCACCCTGCTTCCTTCAATCTAGAACCATGCTACCTGATGTGGCTACTTAAAATACTAAGACTGATTAAAATTAAATTAAGAATTCAGTTCCTCAGTTACACTGGCAGCATCTCAAGTGTCCAATAGCCACATGTGGCTTTTGACTTCTATCTTCCTTTTTAAACATGCTTATTTGTTTTACTTGAAAGGCACAGCAATAGAGAGAGGCAGGTAGAGAAATCTTCCATCTGCTGCTTCATTTAACAAATGCCCACAACAGCCAGGGCTGGACCAGACTAAAGCCAGATGCCAGAAACTCATGCAGGTTTTAGGTTTCTTACAGGGGTTCCAAGCACTTTGGTCACATCTGCTATCTCCCAGAATGCATTAGCAGGAAGCTGGACTGGAAGTGGAAGAACCGGGACTTGGAGTGGCACTCTGAGATGAGATGGGTATATCCCCAGCAGTGGCTTAACCCTCTAGTCACAACAACCCCCCCTAGTCTGCTGCTTTTTAATGCAGAATAGTATTTCATTATATGATTCTACTACAATTTGTTTATCTACTCACCTGCTGCTGGGCATTTGAGATGTTTCTGGATTGGGGCTAGTGTAAATAAGGCAGCTATGAACATTTATGGACAAATTTTTGAGCGGTCATATGCTTTCATCTCTCTTAAGTAGCTAGAGGTAAAATGGTTGAGTCATAAGGTAAATGTATGCTTAACTTCTTAAACAGTCTCACTGAAGCTTATGAGAATTCCATTTGTTCCACAGCCTCATCAGTTGGTAATTTTAGCCATCCTGGTGGACGTGTAATCGTTATGTCATTATGGTTTCACTTTGCATTCTTCTAATGACTAATGCTGTCAGATGTATTTTCCTATGCCCATTTCCTATCTCCATATATTCTTTGGCAAATCTTTAGTTCATTTTTATTGCGTTGTTTATCTCTTTTTAGTGGTGATCATTGTTGCAGCGGTTCAGATACCACTTAGGAAATAGCCATCCCATATGAGAGTGCTCTTGGGTCCCAGCTCTGCTTCACACCAATGCACACCCTGGGAGACAGCAGGTGATGTCTCAAGTACTTGGGTCCCTGCCACTCACAGGGGAGCTAAAGATTGAGTTCCAGCCTCCTGGCTTCAGTCTAGCCTGGTCCTGGCTGTTGCAGGCCTTTGGAGCCCGAAGCAGCAGATGGAAGCTCTCTCTCTGTCCATTTCTCTCTTATTGACTTAAAAAAAAGATTCCTTATACATATATTCTAAGTACAGGTCCTTTGTTGGATATAATGCTTTACAAATATTGTCTCCCAGTCTGTGGTTTGTTTTTTCATTTTAGTAATGGTATATTTTTTTAAAAAAAAATATTTAAAAAAAATAATTTGAAAGGCAGAGTTACAGAGAGAAAGGGAGAGAGACAGATCTTCCATCTGTTGGTTTTCTCCTCAAATGGCCAAAATGGTCAAGGCTGGGCCAGACCAAAGCCAGGAGCCAGGAGCTTCTTCCAGGTCTCCCCACATGAGTGAGGGGTCCAAGCACTTAGGCCATCTTCTGCTTTTTTCTCAGGTGCATTAGCAGGGAGCTGGATTGGAAGTGAAGCAGTCAGGACTCGGACTGGTGCTCTTATGGGATATCAGCAATGCAGGCAGAGGCTTTACCTGCTACACCAGCACTGTGGTGTAGTGGGTAAATGATATCTTTTGAAGAACAAGTATTTTAATTTTAATGAAGTTCAATTTATTGAGTTTTGATTTTTAAACTTTGTATTTTCTCCTGTCCTACTTAGGACACTTTTGCCAAACCCAGGATTATTAAGAGTGCCCATATTTTCTTCTAGAATGTTCATAGTTTTTACTCTGACATTTAAGTTTAAAATCTATTTCAAGTGCATTTTTAAATATGGTGTGAGTTAAGGGTCAATTTCCATTGTTTGTCCCATGGAAATCCAACTGTTGCAGCATTATTTGACTAAGATATTGACCTTTCCTCATTGAATTGTGTTGGCATGTTTATTAAAAATCATTTTGGCTCTGCTTCTGATCCAGTTCCCTGCTGATGTGCCTGGAAAAGCAGCAGAAGATGGCCCAAGTGCTTGGGCCCCTGTCATCCATATCGGAGACCAGGACGGAGTTCTAGGCTCCTGGCTTTAGCTTGGCCCACCCCTGGCCATTGAGGTCATTTGGAGAGTGAATCAGTAGAAGGAAGACTGCTCTCTCCCTTTGTCTTTCTTTGTCACCCTGACTGTCAAAATAAATAAATACATCTTTTTTTAAAAGGCATTAAAAGCAATTTTAAATAGTAAAATACATTTTTATAAAAAGGAAAGAAAAATCATTTCTTCTTGTATGTATGGGACTGTTCCTCTATTTCTGACTCTTTGTTCAAATTTTGACATATACATATGATAGAACATTATTCAGACATTAATGTTTTTGTTAACATATAAAGGATATGCCAAAAAACCTCATGACTTAATGTTATACTGTATGATTTCAACTGTATACAAATATATCAATATGCATACATTTTTTAAAAGTCTGGAGAAAAATGTAGCAAAATTGATACTCACAATGGTTATCTCTGGGTGATGTACTCACAGATTATCTTAAACACTTCTAATGAACCAGTTCTTTACAATGGAACTATATGTCTTTTGTGATCAGAAAAAGTATCAAAAATAAATATACACATTCATAATTGTGAAATCAGTTGCCACGGAAAATAGCAGAAATAATATCGAAGAAGGAGCAGGGTGGGGGGGCAGAGATTTGGGGAAGAAAATAATGGGGAACATT